CCATAAAGTTGAGAGTAGATCAACGATCCATCAGCCATATTGATTAAAGATAGGATGTAAGAGTAAATTTATGGAATAGATTTAATGGACCAAAATGACTAAGTAAGGTATGTGTGGGATGCTTTTATAGCATGGCAATTTCTCAGAATATTGATTTTTCAATGAAGTGGCCTAATCATTATTCAGTTTACTTCTACCATTAAAAAGCACTGCTAATACTAGTGCCATCATAGCTAGATATTTTAAATTTTTTTGGCCCTACTAGGCTACTAGCAAAGCATTCTGTGTTCACAAAAATTAGCAATGCTGTTTTAGGCCATGTTTAAATTTTAAGATAATAATACTATACTATAAAATTAGTTTTGACTTACCATATTTTTCCAATGCTTCCTCAGCTGTCTGGAATGTTGGCTCCATCTTCCATTCAGTAAACACATTTCTCACAAGTTGGTAAAGCTGTGCTGCTAAATCCAATCGGCCTGTTTTGCAGAATGTCGCAAATGTTTCACAGTTGTTATATTGAAGGTGATACTCATTCCATTTTTCTGGATGATCACGAAAATGTTTGGCTAACTTAACCGTTTCAGAAGGAGGCATTGCCTTCACATAGTGGCTACTAACCACGGCAAAAAAATGTTTGGTTCCACTGCAGCTGTATGCAACTAAGCGAAGGGTAGAGCCACTCTGAAAATTAGCAAGAGTAGTTGATTTAATGCTAATTTTTAATTTCTTCTCAATTTCTTTAGCTCTTTCGGAATCTTTTGGTAATGTTTGAAGCTCTTGTAGCAACAGCTTTGTTTCATCATCCAAGGACGAATCTGATGATGACCCAATCTTGGAGTCTGGTATACCACTGAAGTGAATCACCTCACAGTCAGGCTCACCAACATAAATGCCATGATGACTGTAGAAAAATAAGGCACTTCTATGACAGTAAATATGGTCACCAGGTTTGAGATCTTTCACATCAATTGCATGAGAAAACGCCCCATAATAGTCAAGTCTTGAAGTTTCATCTGGTGTTTCCATTAATTATTGCTGTTATACCAAAAATGTTAAAGGAAAGATACTATTTAGAAATTATACTTACTTA